CTGCTGAAATAGATGAAACTGGCCTAGACATGTGCTAGGGAACTTCCTGGAGTGACGCACTTGGAAAGCAATTGTAAAAATGTTCTTGTCTGTTGTCGTATGTACTGTTTCTGTACTCTAGCACCTGGAAGTGACCGGTTTCGGTATTGTATATTCCTGACGCAGCGTGTCATAGCTGTGTCATCCTGAACTTGGACAAATAGCTCCTGTAAATGTGAAAAGGCATCCCATTCCAATGGCGAAGGTACTGTAACTAGCAATATTAGCACTCTGGGCCCATCAAGCCAGCTTTCTGAGGGGCTGGGGGAAAACAAAAACCAAAACTAGCAAGCACTAACGGTAGTGAAAGGTGCATCAGCAGTACCCGCTGGCGGAGCCCTTGCGTGCGGAACCTCAGCGCAGGCTGCAGCGCTGCGGTGTCGAGCAGGTGGGGAATGCAGCCCACGGGCCAGTATGTACTTCGCTTAACCCGAGCAGCTCTGCAGTCCAGGGCAAAGCCCGGCCCCAACCCTCAAGTGAGGCTGTCGGCCTCTGGGGCTGCTGTGTTCGCTTACTCTCAGCCTCTCCTGACCCACACCTCCTGCTTGAAAGGGGGAGGGGAGCAGCTGGGAGGGCAGATCTCTCCAAATGCTGGAATAGCTTTTTGATAGCCTCTTACCTTGCCAAAGCATTCCTTTTGGAACTGAAGATCTGCTCTGTGTTACATGCAGTTGCTCAGGTGGGGCTTTCCTCACACTAGTGTAGGCTCTTGCGCTACTTAAAACCAAGTCGTTTTGAGACCTCAAGGGTAGATGCTGGTTTAATCCTTGCGTTGTAGCAGATCCGAGTTCTTGGCATACCTTACGGCCCGCAGGAATCGCTGCTGCTCCAACCTTCCTAGATTAGTCTTTCTTACACTTCTTTTTTTTGACTATTAAAGATATTTTTCATGTATGTTAAAGAAGTCTTAGACTTTTAATATTTGAAAGTAAAACAATAAAGCTCTGTTTGGTCGCTGACCTTGTTTGTGTGGCTCAGGAGTCTGAAGCAATAAAATGTGTGAGGACAGAAGATTCCCGGCAGCCTGGAAAAAACCTCTATAAAGGTTTATATTGGTCACTCGGGGGTTCCTGCAGCACTGAACTACTCTGCGCTTAAGAGGAATTGTCAGTACCTCAGTGCAACCCTTTTGTAGCACAAGGGAAGGCTGGAATTAAGCAACAGCCCTGTGACACTGTACTTGTGTCCAGGTCTTGAGGGAGGAGCAGTGGTGCAGGATGTTGTCTGGCAGCACCACCGGGGGTCCAAGAAATGAGGTCTGTGTCTATGTACACAACTCATGCCATTTATGAAACTTGTTAGCACACGTGGGAGAGATGGCAGTGCCTTGCCGTGCCTACTGGTGACCCATCTGGCTGGTAGGACCCCTCTGATAAAGGGGGGAAAAAGCAAAAGCACCTGTGCATCCCCAACACCGAAACCTTGGGACGCTGCCTCACCTTCAGTGTTTGGAACGTCACAGCTACTACCTTCGGTCAGAAACGAGGCCAGGACAAGTTCCTTTCCACACTGCTTCTGTCATAACTACTCTGCTTGGCCATGGCTCTGGAAAGGACTCTGGAAACTCTGGATGCAGTTTTTTTCTTTGCATGAGCAAGCCCAGATCCTGAGAGGACGTGCCCTCAGCAGCAGGCTGCAGCCAAAGCCGCAACCAGCCACCCTCTCCTTGTGTGACCACGGTGCAAGCCGAGGCCAGAGCTGGCAGCAAGCCGTGGTTGGTGAGCCAGCCGGGGCGTTTCTGCTGCTCAGATGGCAGTGGGGTAGGCAGTGGAGATCGCAGCGGGGTAGGTAGACACTCCTCTCTAGGGAATGTTGGTTCAGCCGGAGCAAGGAACCAAGTAGAGCGTCAGACTTGGAAGCCGGATTCAATCCAGTTTGCCTGTGAAGAGCTCGGCTCCCTCCTCAGCACCCGGCCTTGTACAGAGGGCAGCTGGGGGAAGGCCACACGTTCCCCTGGGGCTGCTGAAGACCTGGTCATCACCACGTCTGCGTTACGAAGCAACACCG